GCAATCCCAAAGGGAAATGAGATGGAACACTCTGATACTCAACCACGTGAACTCCCTGAAATGGCAGCAAAATAGTATCTGGAAAAAATGAAATCAGAAATAATTTCTCAGATAACAGCAGAGATTGTGCCCATAGTGCAAGACATGATTAATAAATCTAGAGAGGAGCTGAGGAACATGATGGAATCCCAACATAGGAAACAAATGGAATCCATAAAACAGAAGCAAACAGATTTCCAGGAAATTAAAAACTCCATTGAAAGTCTACACAGCAGAATGAGCCAATGTGTGGACAGAATTTCAGATATAGAAGATAAGATTGCAATTAGTGACCAGGAAAAGAAAAATTGGATCAAAATTGTAAGGGACCACAAGAAATCAATCCAGCAGCTGCTAGATGATGCAAAGAAGAATAACATAAGACTGACTGGAGTCAACGAAGAAACAGGAGAGGGTGAAGATGACATAAAAAAACTGTTCACAGAAGTAATGGCAGAAAACTTCTGAAGCAGGGGAAAAGAACTTGACATACAGATAAGTGAGGCATATAGGACTCCAAATAGCCTTGATCAAAAAAAAATCTGCACATAGATTGTTCATATTCCAGAAACCCAATAGAAGAACAAAATTCTACAAGCAGTTAGAGAAAAGAAACAAATCACATACAAAGGAAAACCCATCAGAATCACAGCAGACTTCTCAACACAAACTCTCAAGTCAAGAAGAGCTTGGAGTGATGTATTTCAAATTCTAAAGGAAAACAGCCTCCAACCCAGATTGATGTACCCTGCAAAACTATCTTTCAAAATTGATGGAGAAATAAGATACTTTCATGACAAAGAGCACCTTAGGAACTTCATGAATAACAAACTAGCACTCCAAAAAATCTTAGACAATATCCTAGGAACAGACAATGAGGATCACAACCTCAGGAAGCATAGCAGAATGAACCCATCAGCAACAAGAAATTAAATGTAGAGGGAGAGAATCCAACAGAAAGAAAAAGTCATGACAATGATAACACAATATGTATCAGTTATAACCATCAATGTTAATGGTCTCAATTCACCAATCAAAAGAAATAGACTGGCAGAATGGGTCAAGAATCAAAATTCAACAATATACTGGGCTTTGCTCTTTCTGGGCCCAGGTTTACACACCCTGCCCTCCCTCTGATGACCCTAAAGTGGGACATCCCATCACCCATTCAGCTCCCCACATCCCCTTATTTCCCAAGTCTGTGCCCTGCCTATCTGCCTGCTAAAGTTGTCTGCCTTGTGCTCCACAGTGTGGCTCACTCTGATCACCATGGCTGCTCCCCACTACGCCCACAAAGATAGCTGGCAGTGGAGGTGGAAATGGAGGTAGGAGGGGAGGCTGAGGCAAATGCTGCAGCGTTGTGTCCAGAGAGGCTCTCCTTAGCATTCCCCTTGTTTGCCTTGCTCTTGACTGAGCTCAGGCACAGGTGCAACTTGGCCCATGTAACCCACTCCAGGCAAGTGGCCACAGGAAAAAGAACAAAAAGGCGGGAGTGGAGTTGGGGAATGGGGAATGACAAAGGCTCCAAGTATGGGTTGTGGCATAAACTAAAATAATAGTTGTTTCCTGATCAGACTCATGAGAGAAATGCCCAATACATCTGAGGGTGCACTCTCAATTAAATACAACTGTTTTATGCTTGTCTGTCTATCTATTCATTCTGTGATAATAAGTGGTTATAATACCTATAGCTGCTTTGTTTGAGCTCAACAACTTCTTTAGTTGCTCTTTTTGAGATTTCCATGGTTTATATAGGTTTTGAGGACAGCCAAATATATTAAAAATTTTGGATGTACAACTTAAATTGGCTTATACATAGAATAACACTCAAGGCATCTCAAATGCTTGTGGTTCACATAGCTTAAGCATGGGCTAGCTTAATTCAGTTAATAAAAGCAATGATGCCTTTAAATTTAATGACATGTTTCCACCCAGGTTGACAGCCAATCAAAATGATATAAAAATTGGTTTTACAAATGCAGTGCCTATTGATGTTGGTATAATATAATTTAAGTGTTTTCATTGACACTCAAGATCAAAACCTGAAAATGGGACCAAAATCCTCTAATGGAAAAAAAAGACTTAAAAGTTAAAATTAAAGCACACAGCTTCTCAACTGTCATGTGCCTGTCTGACTATATGGTCACCATTCTTGAAAGAGTATGGATTACTGCCTTGCTTTTGCTGCCTCTGGAATCCCATTTAGGTCTAGACAAGCAAATTCATTTCTAAAATTTGTGGGCTCACCTGGGAGATTCTGTGCCTACAAGGACACATCTTACCCCATTTTAGGTGGCCTGATCTGCCTGGATACTCCATCTCCTCACAGAAGCCATAGAACACCTGAGACCATTGTTTTGAAGACAATAAAACTGATCCAGGGGAGATAAAACAGACACCTGAGGTGTCTATACAAGCCAAGGCAGAAAAAATGGATGATAGGCGCCGGGGATTTAGCTCAGTGGTTCCAGGGCCTGCCTCACAAGCCCAAGGTCCCGAGTTTGATCCCCGGTACCAAAAAAAAAAAGAAAAAATGGATGATAAGTACTGCCTCTTGGTGGGCAGGATATTTTTAGAAGACAAGTGTGTGACTGAAACATGTCCTGAATGAGTCTTAAATACACAGGAAAAGAATTCAGGGTACATAAGGAGACTCCATTGGGGTGAGGTTTAAATGGTATTATTAGTGGAGACATAAGAAAGGCTACAAGAGCCCTTGTCCAATTCCCAGGGGAGAAAGGCACATCAAAAATGCTTGATCCAAATCCATGAATGAGTATAATGCTGATGAACACTGCTAGTGTTTGGAGGTTCAGGGCAGGATTTTGTGGCTACAATTGGACTTCTTGGTGAGATGGGACATGTCCTGTCTCTTTAAGAGAAAGTAGGAAGCAAAATATCATGGTAGACATCTGCAACAGGGCAGGTTGGGGCTCAGCATGATGATGTAGGTAGAAACATGCAGCAGGCAGCCGGGAGGCTTGGCAGGCCTCCCCCAACCCTGACAACATTGGCCTTGGAAACAAGGGATCTCCTGCATCAGGGGATGCCCTGGGATGTGAAGAATATCTCTCACTCAGTCTTTCTTTCCCTGCAGAATTAGACCACCAAAGTTTAAGAAAGTTTAAGAAAGAAGCCTTTAATCTCAGAATTCACAAAAAATGTCCACTATAGCAGTTAAAGGAAACTCAGTCACAGCACCTAACCAAAAATGGGGCATAAAATTTCTAGGCCTAGGGGAACAAAGAGAGGGAAAAGAAATGCTTCCTTGGGCATTGCTCTGGATAATTTGCCAGACATAAACACCATTTCCCACATATACAAAAGCTCTAAGAATGTCCTTTAATTATTGACAATAGGGTTACACAGTATAAACCATCTTAAGAGGAGTCTAACTTTTACCACAATTTCTATATAGCTGTGATACTCATTATTGCCAGCTTCATGGTATATTAAATGTATTCATGATTTCCAAGGGTACAAGTCTTCAAGGATGCAAAACAGAAAAACAGGTCATCATACTTGTGACTTCATGCTATAGTTGTTTATGATAAACTTTGTTTTAGCCTCAAGCATCTGCTTTCCCTTATATGTGTTTGTTATTTGTGATATGATGTGCTTGTCAATCCAACATGATATAGCCAGCAAGATGATGCAATGATTTTTCAAGGCTTGTGCTTATTTTAAGTGTATGTTATGTAGTTGTTACAACACTTGGAGATGCTCAAACACAGTGCTGTCCATGCAATGTCACTATAGAGACTAGAGGTTGGACATTAATAATCTGTATTCATGGACACATGCATTCTTCTTCAATGGCACCCTGTGAAAGGATGATGAATTTGGGTAAAGGTTCATTATGTCAAAAAGATATTGAAGTTACTGTACACTAACATAGACTTTTAAATGTGTTATAGATACAAAAATAAAACCAAATCGTTCTTGTAAAATTATGTCATCCTGATTGTTATGCTAAAAGGTTATGTTGCCCTTGATCTCAAGTTTTCTCTGTAAACCTTTATTGGTTAATATTCTGCAGGGATACACCTTCTAAGACAACCATGTAAGGAAATACCAGTTCCTTGGTCATACTATATATTTCATAGTGCTTTGTATCTAGATAAAATAATATAATTAAACCTATTGATCTTCTGGATGTTCAACAACTGAAGTTTGAAGACCAGAGCTAGAAAGATAACTGGGCTAAGAGGACAGCCAATATTTTGGGCCTGGCCCTCCAAGGTCAACAAGGATCCAGGACATAAGGAGACCTTTGTACAGATTGCTACCACACTGATGAGTGACCCAACCTCCTGAGCCAGTAGATTGTTGGATCCTAAAGGACAAGAGTCAACCAATGTACAGTGGGATACAAGGAGAGTCACAAAAATGAAAAACATCTCCCATGCTTCCATGGTAAGCCAGTGGTCAAGCAAGGCTTTAACCTATCCTGCAGGCTGACATGGACTGACAAACTAAGAGGCTCTGTACATGGTTCCCAAAGTAATGGCTGAGGAGACTTAACAGACATTGATATACATAGAGGGGTAACTTTTGATTAATACAATTCCCACTTTAACTTGGTCTTGGACAACCTGCAAAAAAAGTATAACAAAACATATATAAAAGTAATAACAATATAGGCTAAACATAGTCTAACTCCTCTCCTGGCAGTTTTCAGTCACACCTATAGACAGGCCTAAAAGCCAACTGGCTACAATTGCTACTCTAACCCCTTAAGAGCAATGTCTGGAAGCCATTCCTTCCACAATATGACTTTCCATTGTAATGCTCATGCTTTGGTCATAGTATTTTCAAGCTTGAATATCTCTTGGTTCAATTTGTATATTATCAGCTAGAGGCTACCAAAATCCAATTGAGCATGTAGACAGAACCCACAAAAAGGTGCTAGATTTCTTTTGCCAAGGCCCATTGGACAACCCACCCTCGTACATACCTCCATCCAATGCTCCCTAATAATGACCTCATTCAGCATGAAGATGCAGATTGGTCATTGCCCAATTCCCCACCAGCAGTTGGATGGACCTATCAGAGGAGGAAATGTAAGGGAGAATGAGAGCCTTATTGGGCTTTCTGGCAAATCTGGACTAGAACTAGTTAAAGCTTTGGTAGAGGAAGTAATTAAGAGGACAAACAGAAAAGCTGATAAAGGTTAGTTGCCCCTGCCCAACTTCAATAAAATGCAAAAAAGACGAGGGGTGGTCATGAGAAAAAGGACTCTTCTTTAATATATAAAAGCACATACACTACTACATTTCTCTCTCTCTCTCCATATATATATATATTTAGTCCCACTCTAGGGCCACTATAACACTGCACTAAATCACTAACTCGACTTTCTAAGTAAGGCCCCTTCTAACCAACCCACAAATCTAGACATAAGCCCCTTGATAGGACAAGAGAAAACCAAATAAAGCCCAGTTGGGAATGTGCACCTAGTGGAGGGCATGGGGTTAAGATCCTGGGGCCTGGGATTGATCTATGGCCACCCAGGGAACTAATTGGGCTATAGCAAGTTCAAGTAGGGGGAAAGGCCCTGGGATTCAGTACAAGCAGTCGGGAACAAAGGCCAATGGGTCCTGCCTTTTTCCAGAAGCTCCCTACCCAGAGTCTTACCAGGATAGCTATCTCTCTTATCCACTTTTCTCCTTTTCCAGTGATGTTTTCTCCTTGCCTTAAACTCTATGTCTTTAATTCATCACTGGTACTGAGTTTACCATCCTGGTGAGGCGCTCAGACAAGGGAGCAGAAGAGCGGTGGTGAACACCCCCAGACTTGACAGAAACTTTGAAAGATGGATACGCTCCAGCATGGTGCAGGTGGTGCACACCTGTAATTCCTGCACTAGGGGAATTTTAAGCAAGGAGATTCCAAGGTTGAGCCCACCCTGGGCAATTAAGCAAATGGAGAGGAGGAGTTGGAAAAAAAAAAAAGACTAGGGATGTAGCTCAGTGCAAATCATCTGGGTGAAATCCTCAGCAGAGGGTGGAGGATGCTTTGGAGAAAGGACAAAGCTGAGAGTGATTAACTGGCATTTAGCTAACACAAAGCACCCTTTATCTTGTGTAGCCACAGCCCAGAGAGCTGAAGAATAGGCCTGGGATCAAACTTTTTAAAATTAATTTAATTGGTATAATTTATGATCACATTCATCAAAAGGAATTTGTACATGTACATGGTATATCTTGATTCCTCTTTTTACCCCAATTCCCTCCCCTCCCTTTAACCCTCCCTCCAACTTATTTACAAAAGCTTTAATTCTATTTTTTTCCTTCTTGTTCCCCGCCCCCAACCCTGGGGTCAAATTTTAAGAGAAGCTATATTGGCCAAAGGATTAAACTCAACCAAGATGGGCTAACAGTCCCAACAAAGTTGGGCCCAGATAGATGAGACACAGACCTCTGGGTTGATGCATGCTGAAATCTAGAACTCAGGAGTACCCTCTTCCCCATCAAAGTCCAAAGATCCCACCTTCTTGGAAGGCGATCTAGGGACCTTCCTCCTAATGCCCAGCAAGTGCCTGCAGGGCCCTCACACACTCTCATACTCACAAATTTCCCCTTATAAAGGGGGTTTGAGACTGAAGGCATCTGAAATGGGGGCCCAGGACTGAGAAACTGGGCTGAGGATCCTACCATGGACAGTTCCTCCAACCTGCTGTGCACCATGAGGGGTGGGTATCTGTCCCCTTCTGGGCTCACAGTCCTAGGACATGAGTTGGGGCTATCTTGCTCCTGAGGTCCTTGCTCTCATGGCCTGAGTCTGTGGGAGGAGTGGACTGGGGTACTTGGGGACAAACCCTTGGCTGCCCAGGCCTGGGGGTGGCAAGGAGAACATGAGGAGGGGATGGGCTGTGGGGACAGATGTGGAGGGAGAATAGGGTTGAAGAGGGTTAGGAAATGGACTTGGAAGGTAAAGGAGCCAGGTGAGCCCTCTCCCTGGGTTTATGGGGAGAATGGCTGAGTGGGTGAACTGAACTAAAACAAGAGAGGGGACAGGGGTGTCTGCTTACATTTGGCATAGCCAAGCGGTGGGGGACCTGGAAAGGTACCAGAGTGGTGTGCAGATTGGCAGCAGATGTGAGGGGAGGTAGCACTTTGGGTACCAAGGGGAACTGGGACCCTACCAGGTCACAGACTTGTGCCCCTGGCCCTGTTCCCATTTTGGTGGTCCAGCCTCCTCCTCACAAAGTTGCTGCTAGAAGGGTACAGAGCACCAGGGAGGGCTCTTCTGTGTAGCACATTTCACTCTGAAGCACCCTCACCCTAAGAACCTAGTGTCACCCTAATCAGGTGGTCTTGGGCTCTGAGCAGCCACCATGGAGAAGATTCCAGAGCTTGACTAAAGGAGAAAGTATGGGTGGGGCTGGTCCTGGGGCTGCTGTGAGGGAGGAAGTGTTTTCACCATGTTCCACAGTCCAGGCTGCACACTGCGCAACTCCAGGAAGTGCCATCCACATGGATATGAATGAAATTCTGCAACATGGCAGCTCTGAGCAGAGTCCCTTTCCTGCTTCATCTGCTGAGGCCAGCAGAGATTTCATTAGGAGCCCTTTCTCCCTGACTAGTGGGCAGGCAGGGCCTGGGAGGACAGAAGCCTATTTGAGACTTTCATTTCTTTCTCTCCCTGACAAAGCTCTGGCCTGGATTGTTGATCGAAGGAGCCCACAATGGGAAGGGAGAAGGTATGGGCAGAGCACAGGAGGTCAAGCACAGAAAGAAGAGACAACACTGGCCCCAACACAGATTGTCACATCAGTGACCAGGCTCCCCTGAACTTCCTGCTCTGGGCAGTGGACACAAGGGGCTCAGCCACCTGCTACAACCTAACCTAAACCTAACCCTAACCCTAACCCAGTGAGGCCTTGGAGCAGTCAGGGCACATATCTCTGGGGGATAAGCTTGTGTCCTCTGGCCTGGTACCTCGGCAGTCTGTAGGACCTGCACGGCCTCCTCATCAGAGCCCTGGTCAAACTCCCCAGCCACCACTGTTGGATGTCCTGGTACAGAGACAGGAGGGTTTGGGGACAGGATGTGCCTGCTCCCCTTTCAACCTCCAGTCCCTGGAGCTGGAAGCAGAGCTGGGTCTACCTGCTTACCTGACCCTGCAGTGGGTAATGATGACCACCAAGGCTGGGGTGATATGGCACTCGTGCAGAAGTTCAGGGTTTTATCCTGGAGAGAGGAGAGGAGGAGAGGGTCACAGCTCCACTTGGGCAGCACTCTAGCCCGGCCAGTAACCCCGGATCCCTGTGTACCTACACAGATATCTGCCAGTTCCAGGAGCCAGGGACAGCATCCTTGCCATAGATGATCCTAGCCAGGACACTCAGCACAGGTTAGATAAAGGGGACTCCACTGGCTGGGTGAAGGGTGGAAGCCAAATTGATGTGGGCCCTTCAAGTGTCAGCTCCTCTATCCCAGCCTCCTCCACACCTACTCCAGCTCAGCTCCCCTCTCCACTCCTTTTAGAAGTTGGTCCTGAGTCCTGCCCAGCCCTGGTGTCCCCACAGGCAACTCAGTGTGACCTGTGCTGGACACAGGGATACAAGGGACTTGATCTCCTCTGCACCCACCCCCCACCCCCAGCCTGGACAAGCCAAAGGGGCTGCGGGAGGGAGCAGCAGGGAGGCCGGGCTATGTGGCTGTGACCATTGGCTCCATTGCTGCCTGGCTCAACTGCTGAGCTCAGAGACTCAGTTTCCTCACGCAAGAAATGGGGATCTTACAGTTGTCACCCTCTCAGGGCTGGTATAAGGACACAGGACAGATCAGCAGGCAAAGTGCTTGTTCTGTTCCTGGCACATAGTAGTGCTCAGCGAATAGGCGTTTAAGTGGGCACAAAGCCACTGCTGCCCACAAGGTCATTGCTGACTGCTCAGAGGATTTCCTGTCCCCTAGACTTGCCCTCCCTGTACCCCACATAGGGTGCAAGGCCTCCACACAGCTAGGGGTGTCTGCCTCCTCCCCTGGCTCAGCCCTGCTGGGTGTGGGAAGGGGAACAGGCTGGGGGTGCCACATTCTGAGGTGGCGTCTGGGCCTGGGAGGAGAATGTGGTCCAGTGCTGTCCTCTCTGGGTCCCCACTGTAGATATCTGCTCTGAGGGGTTGGTGACTGCCCAGCATAACTGGGAACAAGAGGAGCAGCCTTCCTGCCTCTGCTCCCCAGATGCCTACCAAGGGCAGTGCCTGGCAGGGCCCAGCCACAAAGGAGCCCATGGCTCTGCAGCCACGTGGTGCAGGTGGCCCCCAGAGCTCCCCACTATATATATCCTGCATGCCATGCGTCATCTGAGACCTTGGGGTGATGAGCCCTCCATGGCCAAGTGCCCAAGCAGACAGAATGTGGCAAAGCAGGGCTGGCACTGCCCCTGGGATGGCAGCAGCTGCAGCCCACACCTAATCACAGGGCCCAGGGCAGAGGTGGGACTGAACAAATGAGGGCCTTGACCCAGGGCCTTTCTCCACATCCCCCTCTGGAGCCCAGCCTCGTCACTCAGGGTCTGGGGGACATGGAATTTATTGGGTCTGTTTGTTGTTCAGAGACTCCTGGGTAGTGAGGTCAATCAGAGAGCAGTTTGGGGACCAGGCCTTGCCCTGAGGTCTTGAGAGAGGCCAGGGAGGCTCAGGAAAGGCTCCATCATGCTTCGTGGCTTTCACTTGGGCCAGGGCAGAGTGGATCTCAGGGACAAGCTGCCCATTCACAGCAGGGCCTCTGGAGTTGGGCCTGTGGACCATCTGACTAAGACAGGTGTGATGATGCTCACCTATAATTCCAGAACTCAAGAGGCTGAGGCTGGAGAATTGTTGTTAGTTCCAGGCCAACCCGACACACATCATGAGTTTGAGGCCAGCCTGAACTGCATAGTGAGACCCTGATTCAAAAATAAAATCTGAGTGAAGCATGGGAGCCTGGGGCAAGGAGACCTGGTTCCTGCCTCTCTCAGCCTCTGGGATGTGGGGAGCAGGGTAAAATTTGGGGCTGAGGCTGCCAAATACAGGGCGAGTCCCCTGAAGGCCCAGGAAATTGATACTCCGAGTCCAGGTTTCATTTCTTTTGCATTGGGACTAGAAGGTTGTGGGGTGAGGCAACTGTGGAGCCCTGGGCAGGTTACTCACCTCTCTGACCGTTTCTCACTCTCCAGTTCGGAAGGTTCATGGTTCGGGTCCCAAACGACAAAGTCCTTCCTGAGAGCACTAGGAACAGGTCTCACACATCATCCGCACTGTCAGCCTTTATACTTGTCTTGAGTGAATTTCCTGTTCATAACCTGTGCTCATTTTAGAAGACAGTGTAATGACACTGGTACGACCATACCAGAGGCAGTGAGGCCTCTGCAGGAGCCCATCCCTTAGGGACAGTTCAGCCGTGCTGCCCACCAGCTCACCAGGCCCTCCTAGAATAGACCAGAGAAAACCACAAGTCCTGCCTTTGGGGGTGACATGGCAGTGGGGAGTGGGGTCTTGGAGGAGGAGAGCCCATTTTAAAAAAAAGTCAAATACATACCACCACCAGCTAAGAAGTTATATCATTACTTTTTTTTTCTTTTTTCTCAGTACTGTGGGTTGAACTTAGGGCCTTCTCAATTTGGGGAAGTAGCCAAGTACATCATGGAGGAGGCAATGTTCAGGTCATGGACAGCGGTAACAGGTGCCCGGGCTCAAGGGCAGCAATCAGGATGGAGTCCAGCAGCTGATGCAAGAGGGGCCTATCCTGTGGACCAGGTGGAGATGGGCAGCTCTGTGGGTGCTGGAGCCTACAGCCAGCACATGCTAGGCAGTGGGAAAGCACAGGTGCAGGCATGGTGGGGCAGGCTGATCTTTGCATGGGAGAGGAAGACAGGAAATTAGGTTTTGGATCTGCAGGACCAACAAGAATCCTGTGCACATGGAGAAAATCCCTTCCTGGGTCTTTCTTTTGTAAACAGTTAAAGCGTATGTAGCTCAAAGCCTTTTGGCAGTACCAGTAACCCTAAAACCATTACCTATTCAGATAGAAACAAAATATTTGTCTCCCTGGAAAGGTCCCTTGCCCTTTGGCAGTTTGTCCCACATTTCCAGAAGCAGCTTCTGTTCTCAGTTCTTTTCCCATAGATTAGATTTCGTTTTGATTCTTTAAAACATTTAAGTTTGCTATAACCCTATCAATCGGAAGGAAGGCCGAGGAAGAGGAATCCAAGTTCAAGGCCAGTCTGTGTTACATAGTGAGTTCAAGGGCAGCCTGAACAACATAGCAGATCCTGTCTCAAAAACTTGTAGTTCTCCTGCAAGTAGAACTTGTAGTTCAGCCCTGCAAAGTACTGGGATCACACTTGATGGGCTTTGTGGAAAGTGCTTGGGTCCTGACTGGGTCCATTACTTCATCAATGGAGTAATCCTTTTATTGTCAATAAGCAAGTTAGATATTTTGTAGGCAGTTAGACAGGGCTGACTCTTGAGGAGCCAGCATGGAGAACATTTGAGGACCCAACATGAAGGACAATTAAGACATTCACTGAAGGCCAGCATTGTAAAAAGAAACTGCTACACCCAGGAACTTCCCCTAGGGATGAATAGCACTGATTGATATTCTAAATAGGTTTCAATCACCTGGGTAGGGGACCACAGCCTTAACCCATCCCTTCCAGGAAAGATCCTTGACCCATCACTTCCATGAAAAATCCTTGTTCTGTCCTTGTATGCTTGCTACATGACTTGCTGCCCCATTGGATCCCCCATTTAATCAATATTACCTAAGTGACTATACTTGTCCTAATCTTATTGGTTGATCATAATTTTGTCCCACCTCATGTCCACCTTCCGATTTCTCATTGGATCAATACTACCTAAGTGACTGTATTTGTAATTTCACTAGTTGACTACAGTTTTGTCCCACCTTGAACCTGTCTTCCCTCGTGGCTTTGTTCCATAAAACCCCCAAGAAACAGGGTTCTCAGGGGAACCCACTTTCCAGTCCCCTTTCTGACTTTCTTAGACATAAGCTATCTTTCCTTAAATAAAATTTTCCTACTCTTAGCCTCCATTGTTCCTAGAATTCATTGTTCTATTTCAGAGAACAAACTCATGTTTCAGATATCTAGCAGGTTTGAGAGTTACATCTATTCCCCCATATCACTTTTATGAGATCACAGTTTGATGGCATTACTGAGGTGATGGAGAAGAGATAGGGCCCAGCTGAAGGAGTGGATCATGGTGCTGTGACCTTGAGGACTGCATCTGGTCCTCAGCCCCTTCCTCTCTGGCTCTTTCTTGCTCTGCTTCCCAGGTGCCATAAGCTTAGCAGTGTTCCTCTGCCAGGTCTTCCACCATGATGTTTCTGCCTCCTCACAGATCTAAACACAACTGAGTCAGGTGTCCATAGCCTGACTCCATGAGCCAAAATAAGCCTTTCTTTGCTATGTGATCCCAGGGCCAAAATGCTAACACAGATACGCTCATAGAAACTACCAAATGGTTTTCAACAATGCTTATCCAGTTTCCTTTAATAGCAAAACAGAAGGATTAGATTCCTATGCCCTATCTGAGTGTAACTCATTCTGAGAGTCGCCTTCATGAAATTTCCCTGCTCCTTCTGAAAGGCAGAGAACTTCAAGACTGGGCACACACCAGGAGTTGGGACTCCAAAGCAAGGTCAGAAGTATAAATCAGAGATGTACTTGGGAGACCTGCCCAGCACAAGAAATGGCAACAGGAAGGGAAGAGACCCAGAAGCTACATCCCTGCCCAGCCACTCCCTGGAGTGAGACCTGGCGTGAGGGTTGTGCATAAGAGCAGGCCTGCCCAGCATGGAACCATCGGAGGGGACCGAGTCATTGGAAGCGGGTCCCTCCAGGACTGGCACTGTTAGGACTGTGGCATCTTCTGAGACATGGAACCCAAATGCCTTAGGTAAAAGAGGCTGAGGCAGGAGGACTTCGAGATCAAGCCCAGCCTGGGCAACCTAGCAAGACACTGTCTGAACCATAATGTTAAGTGAAATGAGTCAGACACACAAGCTTCAATATCGCATAGTTTCTCTTATAGGAGAAACCCAAAGTATAAATAAAGAGTAAAATAAAAGAAATAGGAAACAGGGTGATGGATCTTTTGCAAATGGGGAGGGGACCAAGGCACAGAGGGAGGGGGAAAGGAGGGAAGGGTAAGGGGATGTAAAAAGAACTAAGGTGTGTTGTATATGTGTACCAACTCCCCACAAGGAATGTAATCATTAGGTGCTGCAAACATGCACCTATAAAAAAATAAAAATTAGGGCCAGGGATTTAGCTCAGTGGTTCCGCCGCCTGCCTCACAAGTGGAAGGACCTGAGTTTGATCCCCGGTACCAAAAATAAATAAATAAAAATGAATTAGCTCAAGGATCTTAACCACAACAAATAATGCAATCGAAGTACACAGACCTGGTTGCTTGTTATTCAAACCCATCCTTTCTGTTTCAAACCACCTACCAGTGAAGGGTCATTTGAGGAAGTAAGATAAGACTGATGGATGTCTGCAGCTCCTGGTGACCCCTTTCTGTAGGGTCAACAGAGTCGAGACATCCATGCTCCATGTAGTTTTGGATCTGAAATGTCCCACAAGGGCTTATACACTATAGGATTGGTCACTAGTGTGTCATTCTATACTGGAACCTTTAGGAGGTGGGGCCTTGTAGAAGAAGTGGAGTCATTGAGGCCATGGCTTGGCTTCGCAGCTGCCCTGAAGTGAGCTCTGCTGGGCCACTTTCACCCGACAATGATGCTCCACCTCACCACAGGCCCCAAGCAACCATGAACTGAAATTAATGAAACCTTGGGTCAAAAAACCTTTCCTCCTCCATTGATTGCCTCAGATGTTCTGTTACATCAATGGAAAAGCTGACTCACCATCCCTGAAGGGGCAGATGCAAACAGGACAACACAAGGAGTGTTTATGTAAGTGAAAGCTGGGTCAAGGGGATCTGTAGGATGGTTGACCACAGTGGGGAGACAGATTGTGGGCTGACAACACAAGGGGGTTGTTCTATTTCAGAGAACACAAACTCATGTTTCAGATATCGAGCAAGGGTGGCAAGGGTGGCCTGGCAGAAGCTAGGCCTTTGTGGCCATAAGACCCAGGGAGAGTAGGCAGGGTCTGATTCTGCAGAGCTTGCTACAGCAGGAAATTGCCACATCCCTTGTGAGTGGTGGAGACTGAGGCAGGCAGGGGATCCTGGGAGGCTGAGATGTGCCATGGTGCAGGCTGTGGGCAGGGGAAGCTACAGATGGGGGAAGCTGCGGGTGGGGGAAGCTGTGGGTGGTGAAGCTGCAAGTTGGGGATGCTATGGTTAAGTGGTGGGGACTCTGCAACCCACATTGAAACTGGGATAGGGAGGGATCTCCCCACTTCCTCCAGGGGAAGGCATGCCCGACTGCGGTATTCAATGCATCATCTTGGACTCAGAAACCCCAAAAGTGCTGGCAGCCTGCACTGGCAATTCTAGCCTCCAGTCTGGAAGAAATTCATTCTTTTGGTTATAAACAGCCCTGCCCCTGGGGTTCAGCTATGGCTGCTCATGCAGCACTTGGATGCAGGCTAATTCCATTGTGGGACTGTGAGAGGTGCTCCAGGATCCCTTCCCTGGGTCCTGAACTGGAAATGAGGGGAAGATGAAGGAAGAGTGTGGTTCTGCATCACCTGCCGGTCACTGGGGCACATGTTGCTGGGGTTCCTCTTCCTATTGGGCTCCCTGGGCTGCTGTTGATAAAATTTGGACATGTGCTTTTATATGCAGTCTGGCCATGTGCCTTTAAATTTTGAGCCTGTCTCCTTCCAACTTGAAACAAAGTCTCAAGGCAAAGGTTGTGGGTACTGGGAGATATCAAAAATTTTGAATTTTCCAATCTATTACTGGGCCTACTCGTTAAGGGACTGAGGCCACAGCAGGAGTGTTAGGGGTTCTGAGATTTGATATCTTCTCGTGAGGTCACCATCCAGGCTGTCACTGAAAGGTTGTTTTTCTTCTTTTTCTTGGGGGGTGGATATTAATGGGGAATAAACCCAGGGCCTTCACACTGAGCTACATCCCCAGCCCTTATTTATTTATCTATTCATTCATTTGTTCATTTATTTATTTTAAATGTTCAGATAGAGTCTCACCAAGTCACTCAATCGCTCAGGCTGGGCTTGAGTTTGCAGTCCTCCTGCCCCAGCCTCCCACAGGGCTTGTGTTACAGGTGTGTGCCACCAAGAGTGGCTGTCATTGAAAGATTTATGTAGGGGACGACTGGGTCCTTCCCAGAGTCAGGCTCCTGGGGCCACAGTACGGAGATAGGAAGACAAAGGACAGCAGCACCATTATGATTTTTTGTCACTTAGACCATTTCTGTAATCAAATGCCTGTACAAATGTGGCTAAAGAATGGGCATTCACCTTCCTTCCAGGAGCAGCAACTTGAGGTAAGCAACTGCTTGGCAGCACATGACCTTGTGGCTCAGGTGAGGGTCTGTCTTTCTTCTGTGGGCTCAGGATGGTGGTTGAGCTCCACATCGCTGTGGGGCCATGTTCTGCTCCCCTTTCACTGCCCCTTTGGGTTTGTATTGATCAGTGTTCATTGACTAAGAAATGGGAGTGCTGGGCCTCCCCATAAGCCTCCTCCACGTGGACAGGAAGTGGAGATGGCTGGGGCCAGGTGGTGGCACAAGGTGTCCCTTAGTAATATCAGCACACAGCCATGGCATGCAGCCTTTAGGGCTGGTTTGAACAGGGCCTGGGCTGGGGCCAAAAGAAACAGCTAGGTATGAAAGACACAGCAGCAAACACACACAAATGCCAGCCTGCTGTCCCTAGCCCTGCCACTGCTCATCTTGAGCTTTCCTTCCCCTGTCCTGAGCCTCCCAGGGACAGATTCCGTATCTTCAAGTCTTCAAGGAGTTCAGCTCTCACAGTGGACAGAAAGAGCCCATGATTTCAGGCTGCTTTTGTTTTCTGCTCTGGAAAAATCTTCAAGGCAAGGGAAATATAATGGGTGATGGGAAAAACTTGGCAAACCTTAGTATTTCAATAGTCCCCTAGCCTGGAACAGAAACATAAATTCCTTGTGCTCAGAGCCCAGGCTGCTGCTCGATGACACACTGACAGCTACCACATGAAAACAATGTGGAAAAGCCACAGTACTGATTGGAAAAGCAGCTCTAGGACCATGGTCTCCAGGATAGGGGTCCAGGACGTGCAGTACACTGACACCTCTCTGCATGGCCACCACCAGCCGGAGCTTCTGCTTTCGGTACAGGCTGACGTCATGACTCCTCCTTGTTGAAAGACACAGTACTAATCTGAACTTATAAGTTAAGGACAGAGGAAACTTCACAATGTACTAAGTTCAGATCAACAGCTTTGCCCTAACAAGCCCAGTGCCACTGTTCTGCTCACCTGGACCAGGTTTTGCCTGGATGACATTGGCCTGGTGATCACAGAGCCTGAGGCCTTAGAGAAAGCCTCAGTTCACTGACTGTGTCTCTCTGTCACTTACCTAGACACAGCAGGGCCTGTGTATCCCACCACTGTCAACATACCCTGTGCATTGCAATGCTGAGTTCTGTTCTCATTGGTTTGGTTTCCTAATCTGTCATTACAGCTGGAAACAGTGGAGGATCCCGAAAATACATGCTGCCCCCACTTCCTGCCCTTGTGTCTGACACAACTGGCATGTCCTATGACAATTAAGAGTTTGTTCTGTTATTTTGTAGTGTGGCACCAAGGCCCCATTTTATAAGAAACTAATGCTTCATACAAAGACTGCTTCCTTTAATTGTGAAGGACCACAGAAAAATTCCATTAAGCACTGGCTATACATGGGTGTGTGGCCTGGCATTGGCTTTGCCATCCTGAGGCCCAGGCCACTCCACTCACCCTCCCACACTCAAACTGCTTGATGGGCTGGGACAAGATGACTCCCTGTCTATTTCCCATCGTCCACACAATGCTTTGCTTTTAGATGAGCATTCATTGAACTACTCTTCGCTGAGCCCCTGTAGCCAATATTCAGGGTCCTGGGCCAGCGCTGCAGAATTCTGAGTCCCCAGCCACCAGTGGTGGGTCTCCTCGGAACCCTGAGGGAGCGATGCCTTTAATTCATGGCTGCAAGGCCTCCCTGAGGTGCTAGGGACAGCAGGGTCTCTTGCTTAGCCTGCTGGCAAAGGCTGTATGAGCCAGGTTCTGCAGGGCCCAGTTTCCTGGCTTGGCATGGGTCTTGCTCATGCCATTGTCCAGGCTATGTGGTGTGGGTACAGGGCAGCTGTTCCTTTCCCAGGAGTGGTGAATTTCCAGGCTTCAAGCCAGCCTGGCTGAGAGAGGGGATTGGCCCCCACTTATCACCCAAGGTCCTTGGATAAGAAGGGGTGGCCCTCAGGCCTCCCTTGCTGGGCATGGTTTAGGGGATACTAGTAGACATAAAAGGGGCCACAAAACAGGCAGACACTACCTTCCCTGACAGCAGCATCATGGTCTCCCTTTGGCTTCTGTCCTGCTTTGCCTTGGTAGCAGCCGTCCATGGTGAGTGCTGGGACATTGGGCCACCAGGCCTGGAGAATGTGGGGAGGGGGCCTTAGGCCTTCATGACCCCCACAGCCAGGACCCACAAGATGATCCTGGAGCTCTGTCTCCAACCAGAGGTGAGCTCCTTGGCTTCACCCAGTGCTGAGGTGACCTAAGGTTGCAGGAAGAAGGTCTTTCAGGGGCTCTCAGATTCCTAGCTTCCTGCAAAAGGAGTGGAAGAGACACACCAGCCCAGCCTTGGTTGGTGGCTCCAGAAGCACCTGTGGGCAGGGTAGGAGGTGACCACAGCCCTCATGAGGCTTCTGGGAAGGGTTTTATTTATTGTGCTGGGCATGCATTGAGCTTGTTTATTAAATTAAGAAAGAAAGGCTAGGGTTGTAGCATGCCCATGTAATCCCAGCACTCTGAGAGGCTGAGGCAAGAGGATTATAAGTTATAGAGTCCACCCTGGGCTATTTAGTGCCTTAGTGAAACCCTGTCTTCTCAAAATTTAAAAAATGAGAAGTGGGGGATATAGCTCACTGCAAAGGCCCTGAGTTCAATCCCTAGTATCACACACACACACACACTTAGGAAAGAAATTTAAAAATATAGAAAATTAGATGACATCCAGGTGTATACTGTCAAGATTTAGCAGATCTGGGCTGGGGATTTAGCTCAGTGGTTTCGCCACCTGCTGCGCAAGCGCAAGGGCCCGAGTTCAATCCCCGGTACCAAAAAAAAAAATCAAAAAACAAAAAAAATTTTTTAAATTTATGTAAATAGCATTTTACTCTGCCTCAGTTTTACACCGTGCTTTTTTCTACTCATAATTTTTAGATTTATCCACATGGAGATCCAGTTCTTACATTTCAATATACTCTCTGTAATGTACTATGTCAATACCTGACTTCTCTCTCCCTGCTTTTTTGCTATTATAAAAATAGATTATTGTGGTTTTTTATGTTGGGCAGTACCAGTCTTCAGTGAAGGCCTTCAGAAAAATAGATAACTGTGGAATGGGGATCCTGATCTGAGCTGGATGCCCTGTGGTAGAAACCAGTAGCTCTGGAACACGGGTAGGTCAGGGCCAGATTGGCTCCAGGCCACACACATTCCTCTCCCACTCCTACCTCCAACCAGGCTGTGGAGTCCCTGCCGTCCAACCTGTGCTGAGTGGCCTGGCCAGGATCGTCAATGGCGAGGATGCTGTCCCCGGCTCCTGGCCCTGGCAGGTGTCCCTACAGGTGAGCTAGGGATCCAGGGGATGTGGAGAGTAAGAGTACCCTGGGAGGTTGGCCAGGCTGGGGGGCTACCCAGGCAGTAGCTGTGACCCTCCTTCCTTGCTCTCTAGGACAAAACTGGCTTCCACTTCTGCGGGGGCTCCCTCATCAGCCCGGACTGGGTGGTCACCGCTGCCCACTGCGGGGTCACGTGAGTAGATAGCCCAGGCTCTGCTCCCAGCTCCAGGGTCTGGGAGCGTAGTGGGTGTGAGAGGGCAGTGCCCATCCTATTCCCAACCCCTCCCTTGTCCGTGCCTAGAACATCCGATGTGGTGGTGGCTGGGGAGTTTGACCAAGGCTCTGATGAGGAGGATGTCCAGGTCTTGAAGATCGCAAAGGTACCAGGCCAGAATACAGCAGCTTGTCTCCCTGAGATATGTGGCCTGGCTGCTCCACGTCCTCATTGAGGTTGTGGTTGTCACCCTCAGGTTTTCAAGAACCCCAAGTTCAACATATTCACCGTGCGCAATGACATCACCCTGCTGAAGCTGGCCACACCTGCCCAGTTCTCCAAAACCGTGTCTGCCGTGTGCCTTCCCAGTGCCAGTGATGACTTCTCTGCTGGGGCCCTGTGTGTCACCACTGGCTGGGGCAAGACCAAGTACAATGGTGAGTGTGATGCAGCTTTCCACTGCAGGAGCTGTCCCTAGGCTTGTGGCTATCTAGGCAGCAGGAATCCTCAGATGTGATCCAAATGGCTTTTTAAAAATTAAAAATCTATAAAATACCTGGGCATGGCAGCATATTCCTGTAATCCCAGCACTCGAGAGGCTGAGACAGGAGAATGGTTGCGAGTTCAAGGTCAGCCTAGGGAACATAGTGAGATAAGGGCCAGCCTGAACTACATAGCAAGACCTTGTCTCAAAAATTTAAAAAAATATATAAAATATATAATTATTATATGCCAATTAAGACAAAGATAAGTTTTAAAAATCTATCACACACAAATAAACTGAGGGCTAATAGAAGTATACTTGACAGGAAGCTCCTGAAGAGAGCCCTAGAAAGGAGCAAGAGGGCCCTCAGCAACCTGCCCATGCCCCCCTGTAGTGCCTTCAGCAGAGACATCTCTCCAGGCTTGGGGGTTGGAGTGGGGATACAGATGAGGGTAGGCTGGGAGAAGGGCCGTGAAACCACCCCTCCTTTCTCTGTAGCTAACAAGACCCCCGACAAGCTACAGCAGGCAGTCTTGCCCCTGGTGTCCACTGCCAACTGCAAGAAGTACTGGGGCACCAAGATTACTGACGTGATGATCTGCGCCGGGGCCAGCGGCGTCTCCTCCTGCATGGTATGGTCCAGGCAAACCAGGAGGGACACAGGGACCCTGCATACAGGCCTGGGCTCCCCCACCCTCCCTACTTAGAAGGCCCCATTGGTGCCAGCAGGAGCTCCAAGGAAGCCCTCCCTCTAGGCCTGAGCTGTGCTGCCCACGGTGCTCAGTCCTCACCCCAGCCCCCGGAGCACAGGTCCCAGGGTATGAGAGGCAACAGCCAGGCTTAGACAGGGGAGGCCACCTGCACATGGTGCTCAGGAGTAGACGGCAGAGCTGGACTGCATGGCACCCAGATGGAAGTAGCTTGGGTAGTGCCACTGTGCCCATCCTTGTCACTTCTCTGCCCCCTCCCTGCCTCGGCCAGCCTAGGCACTCTGGGCCCCAAAACCCCTTTCAGGCTTGCAGTCAGGTCCTGTCTCTCCCTGCAGGGTGACTCTGGTGGGCCCCTGGTGTGCCAGAAGGACGGAGCCTGGACCCTGGTAGGCATCGTGTCCTGGGGTAGCGGCACCTGCGACACCTCCGCTCCCGCTGTGTATGCTCGTGTCACTGCACTCCTGCCCTGGGTTCAGGAGATCCTGGAAGCCAACTGAACATATTTCCTTGCCTCCTTCTCCAAGGATCCCTAATAAAGTCCTCTGTCCAGAAACACTGACTGCACGCGTCTCACTGTGTGACCCACGGGGACATGGGGCTAACTGTCCGTGTCACCAAGTGTGCCATTAGTTCCCTCACCAGGCCGTAGCTCTCCTCTCAGACAGCCAAGGTCCTTCTGTGTCCTCCCCACACAGAGTCTACACCCCACCTGCTGGAGCAGCTGCACCCCCAGAGCTCTCTGGGAGGCTGAGGCCCTGCCCAGCTCTGCAGTCAGCAGCCCTGAAGGGTCAGCAGCACTGGGACCACAGCAGCTTCTAGTCAAGGCTTCTGCCTCCTCCACAGGCTCCAGTCCCTTTCCCTGCCATCAGCCTCCCGCAGCCAGTGCCCTGGAACTCGCCTTCTCCTTCCATCCTGTCTGCTTCAGCCCCAGCCCTGCTCTCACTGCACGCAAACTCAGGAGCAAGCCCGGCCACCTTCAATCCAGCTCCAATGTCCCCGCAGCTCCCTATCCTCCTTAGCCTCGGTGTTTCCTGCGATGGAGGAGATGGCTCTAGAGGCCTGAGCACCCTCAGGTCTGTCCCTGGCCAGGCGTGGGTGGAGCTGGCTGTCTCTCTTTGCTGAGGTCAGCCGGCCTTGGTGTTCAGAGCCTGCACCCATCAATCCTTTGAGGGACTGCAAATGGGGGCATCTCAATTTTGACATCTTTCTCCTTATTACCTCAGATATTCCATAGAGCTGCCTCCCCTGCTTTACCATTTAAATACCCAGGGGTACAGTTCATATAGAACAGTGATGGTGAACCTTTTAGAGCCTTCAATGATACAAACAGCCTGCTATGGCACATGTGCCATACGTTCCCCACCACTGATACAGAACAGGCAATTTTAAAGCAGTTTTCTTTCTATATCCAATATTTAAGAGAACGCTTTTGTTTACTTTCATCCTTCAGCAGTGCGCCATTAAGTTTTCTTTTTATGTTTTAGAATCATTATGATCTTGTGGATTTAGACATGTTTCAGGATTTTGATCCATTGTATTATCCTTACTGAAGCTCACGTTTTCCCCCCTTCAACCAGCGGGAGCTTCTCTGGTGGATTCTCACAATGTCAGTGGGGCCCACATAGTTGTTCATCTCTTCCTTCCTCTTCATGAAACCAGTTCTAAACTTACATCTGAAGTCATGTCTGGATCTCTACCTTGTAGTTGTTCCTATAGTATGATGAAGAATTTGTTGGAGAAAATTCTCCCATTTTTAGGTTATCATATATATTTTTGTAGTTCTGGGCCTCCCAAATGTTAGACAAGCACTCTCCAGTAAGTCTCGCCACCGGACCATTTTTAAATTTTTTATTCTCAGACCATATTCCTTAATTGCCCAGGGTAGCCTAAAACTTTTGATTTTCCAAGTAGCTGGGATTATAGGAAGGTGCTTTTTCACCTGGCTATCTTCATTCATTTTGATTTTCAAAAAGTCACCTATAATTTTGTAGGATATTTGTGCCATACCATGTATATATGTACATATGTCCATTGCCTGCAGGGTTTCCTTGAGAGGTTAGTGTTCAGAATTCTTGTTGCTTTTCAAAGATTTTGCATAGTTTTTCTTTGGGTGCCTTTAATCGTTATCTTTGGTTTTTAGCAGGTATATTGTAATGTTTGGTTTCCTTTGCTCTTATCCTACCCAGAATTCTTGGAGATTGCTGAAACTATGGATCAAAAAACAGGGTATTTTTTGTTATTTTTTATTTATTTACTCTTTTTTTGGTTAAACCTTTTGGGAAATCTCAGCTATTGCCTTTCAAAATATTTCTTATACTCCATTTTCTCAGGAACTCCAGTCATACATATTGTAACTGTTGGAACCACGGCCACCCAAAAATGTCCCAGCACCATAAAGAAAAACAGTCTCTGCAGGTGTGATTACATCATGGATCTGGAGAAGATTTTCCTGGATTATATGAGTGGGTCCTAAACCCAATTCCAGCTGTCCTTGTAAGAGAGGCAGAGAGCAATTGTACACACAGAAAAGAGAGGGATGTGAAGATGGAGATGGAGATTGGCCTGATACAACCACAGGTAAAGGATGCCAGCAGCCACCAGAAGCTGGGAAAAACAAGGGATGGCTTTTCCTCTAGGTCCTCAGAGGAACCTGGCCCTGCTGATACCTTGATCTCAGCACAGTGGCACTTGGCATGAACTTCCAGCTTCCAGAACTATAAGAGAATAAGTGTTTGCTGTTTCAAGCCTCTAGGTTTGAGGCAACTGCAATAATCTCAGGAAAGTAACAGGCATTTGTTAGACTCCTTTCTAGGTCTCAAGTGACTCTTATGTTCTTTTGTGTATTTTCCATTCTTTTGTTTCTTTGTGCTTCCCATGATTTTTCCCTTTTTCAGCTGTTAAACCCATCCACTGAGTTATCAATTTTAGGTACTGTAAATTTCCATTTTTATATTTCCTTCCAAATTTTCTTTAAAATCCTTTTCATCTCTCTTCTGAACTCTCAACCTTACCATTCACTTCCTTAAACACAGTAGAGGTCCATGTCTAATATTTCTGCTGTCTAAATGTCCTGCAAATCTCTTCCCTTATTATTTCTCTTTGTGTTTGCTGTCTCATGTCTAGGTATTTTTTATTGAGTTCTGGGCACTATACTGTAATTTCTAGAGATAATTTGAGATTCCATAAGATTATATCTCCCTAACCAGAGAACTTTCTTTTGCTTCTGGAAGGCTGCTTGGGGCACTAGTAACTTCTTGTGACCTCTACATTATCAGGAGTTGAGGGGATTCAACATAGGGCTTATATTCTTGTTGAGGGTTTCAGTTCTTCACCAGTAACTGTGATTTTTTTTAATAATGCCTTTTATTATGTTAAGTTCTCTTCTATTACTTTCTCAAGTTCTTTTTATCATGAAAGACCCTTTTCTACATCCAATGCCCTTTTCTACATCATTTCAGGCAACAATATGATTTTTTCTCCTTTATTCTATTAATATGGTATATTACACTGATTGATTTTCCATGTGGAATCACCCCTCTATCCCTGGGACAAATCTCACTTGGTAATTTTGTATAATCCTTTTAATATGCAATTGGATTTGGTTTCCTAATATTTTATTGAAGATTTTTACATGTATAAATATGAGAAATATTGGCCTGTAATTTTCCTTTCTTGTGATGTTTATTAGGTTCATTATCAGGGTAATGCTGTTTTGCTAGTTTCTTTGTGTTTATTCATTTATGAGCTTTTTTCTCCCCTTAGTGTTGGGAATTGAACCCAGGATCATTTGTCATTTTCTTAACATTTTGATTTGGATGTTCAGCTCATTAATTTTCAACCTTTCTTCCTTCTTAATGTAAGTATTTTAGGCTGCAAATTTCCCTCCAAGCACTGCTTTCATTGTATCCTATCAATTTTGATATATACTTTGGTTTTTTTATTTCCACTATGATTTTCCATTTTCATTTGTGTACATGCATTCACGTGGGTGCAAGTGTATGTGTGTGTGTGTGTGTCTGTTACTGGGAACTGAATTCAGGGCCTTTGCACTGAGCTGTATCACCAGTGATTTTTTATTTTTTGAGACAGGGTCTCACTAAGTCACTAAACTGGTAAGGCTGACCTTTAACTCATGATCATCCTACCTCAGCCACCAAGAGGGCTAGGGTTACAGGTGTGCATTACCACACCCAGGTGTGTTTTAATTTTTAAAATGTTTTATTAAATTATAATAAAATACATATAATATACAATTTACCATCTTCCCTTTCACATTGAACCCAGGGCATCCAGTTTGCTAGGCAAGTACCCCCAGCTCAGTAGGATAGAAATGCTCTTAGAGGAAGCAAAGAACATATATTTTGCTGCATGAGATGGTATGTGCCTGTAATGCTAGGACTTGGGAGGCTGAGGTAGGACAATCACTGCAAATTTGAAGACAACCTGGGCTACATAGTTCAAGGTTAGCCTGAACTACAAAGTGAGACTTTGTCTCAAAAAAATGTAGACAACTCTTTATGTACAAATTAATATGAGGTGTAGCTAATAGAGAAATGGGGTAGCAAGCACAAACCTAGTGACTTTTTCACTTACTAGTGTAACCTGCCCTAGTCAAGCCTCCCTCGAGTATACAAACAGCAGGACTGGGACAAGGGTGCCACCTGGAGACCAATATGAAAACTGCATAGCTAGCTGTGCTTTGCTTCCTCCTAACCCAGTGCTGTGCCTTACTAAAAGGCAAAAATAGGTGAGTTCATTTTAATAATATATTTACCCCAATAAACCCAAATCTTATCATTCAAACATATAATCAATATTTTAAAATGTTCGATATCTTTTACATTCTGTTTCTCCTATGAAGTCTGAAATCCAGTGTTTAATTTGCATTATTTACATTTCCATTCTGATGTTAAATTTTCTTCAGATACTTGATCTTTATTTAAACTGGATACAATTTACAGTTGAAAAAAACAGACTCATACACCCAATTTGACAATTAGGTCTTATATTCCAAAGTGCAATTAAGCATAAAGCCCTGAGCTTCCTCAGGAGTCTCCCTTGACATAATCTCCATTTGCCAGCAGATGCATCATGGGGCAAGGCACGCTGTTCATGTGTTTTGAATGCCATGCTAGACATGTACCTGTATGTTCCTCACTTCCTTCTCATAGATGACCTTATTTCCTACAGCTGACACATCTGAGACAATCAGAAGAGAATCGGTCACTTCCCAGCCTATAGCTGTGCCCACAGCAAAGTATATATTGCGCTCAACTGCAGCATTGCTATAACAGCCTTCAGTTGTCATTCCTATTCCAGGATGTCCTAAGCTGAAGAACCTGGCCTTGACCATGGGCCAGGTCTTCTTTCTGGACAGGGACCTCCAATGACTGGCGATAGAGCCTGGGACACTGCCAGATCGAATGAGTCCACCTGATATCTTAAATGTAGAATTCATTTTACTTAGGTCACAGAGGAGACATTAACAGGTCACAAGCAGTGTCCCCAAGGCCATATCAGTGGGTCACAGAAGACACACTAGCAGGTCACAAGCACTCCCCAGAGGACATGTTAGCAGATTACAGAGTTCTGTAAGGGCATATCACCAAGCCACAAGTCCACCAAAAAATGCTATTTAAAAAGCCTCAGCCTGTAAGAGATACCTTGATTCCTCTTGCTCAGAGAGGTCCCTCTCAGGTTTAGCAATAAACCTGCTTGGACTGTTGAGTTCATGTCCTTTCTTTCCTACTCATCTGGTGCCAAAATCCAGGAGCAGGAGC